TAAACCTGTGTTTGTAAGCTATGTCATAAGGACTTCACTAAGAGCAGTACCCTTTGCCATCATGAAAAGATTCACAGTGGAGAGAAACCCTATGTTTGTAAGCACCATGGGAAATATCTTGTTCAACCCAGTAAACTTCATGAACGTGAAATTACTCACACTGGGGAGAAACCCTATGTATACTAGAAATGTGGGAAAGGCCTCTCCTCTTATACTTTCCTGTCATGAAATGATTCACACTGGTGAGAAACCGTATGTATGTAAGCAATGTGGGATGACAGCTTTCATTTGATCCAATCACCTTCATGAACATGAAAGGATTCATTCTGTGTGTGAAAAATGTGAGAGAGGTTTGTCCTCTCATATTTCCCTTCAAAATCATGAAAGGATTCACACTGGCAAGAAATCCTAGGTATGTAAGCATTGTGCAAAAGCTTTCTTTCAATCCTCCCATCTTCATGAACATGAAAGAATTCAACTGGGAAAATACCCCATGTATGTAGGGATTGTAGGAAAGCTTTCATTCAATCTACTCATCTTCATCAACATGAAAAAATTCATATTAGAGAGAAACTTGATATATGTAAAGTGCTGTGGGAAAGCCTTCTCTCCTTCCCTTCAAAATCATGGAAGAATTCACAGTGAAGAAACCCTATGTATAAAGAAATGTGGGAAAACTTTCTCCTTTTGAACTTCATTTTATGAAGGATTCACAGTGGAGAAAAACCATGTGTTTAAAAGCACTGTGGAAAAGCCTGCATTGCATCTAGTCAACATCATGAATATGAAAGAATTCACAATGGAGAGAAGTCATATGTAAGAAATTGGGGAATACCTTCTCTCTCCCTTCCCGTCTATATCATGAAGGAATTTATAGTGGAGAGAAAACTCTATGTATGTAAGCTATGAGTAAAGGCCTTCCCTAATAACAGACCCCTTAGACGTCATGAAATGGCTCAGTCTAAGGAGAATAGCTATGTATGTAAGTATATGGGCGAGTCTTTTATTGTTCAAGCATCCTTGGAATCATGAAAAATTACAGGTAATGTTGTTTTTTCCTCATGTAAATTTCACTTCCTCCTCATTTTGTAATATTTATTTTGATCATCAGTCAGCATACTAATAATAAGCCATGCTGGTATGAGTACTCACTTGGCAGAGACCATAAGGACCATACCTTATTCAAATAAGATGTAATTAATTGTCCTAATAAATCTCTCCACACATCAGAAAAAAAAAAAAGAAAGAAAAAGGCTGTCTAATTGTTTTCTCTCATATCTGGGAGATAGGCACAAGACAAAAATAAGCAATACTATGAAGAACAGGTCAGCAAGGGGAGGTCATCTATGAAAAAGGGAGGCTAAAAGAAGGAAGTTAAGAAGGTGAATATGGCTGATGTAGTTTCTATACAAGAATGAATATAGAGTTTTAAAATCTGTTGAAATCACCATAAGAAAGAGACTCAAGTAGAAAGGAGAAAAATAGAGAGGATAAACCAATTCGCATTATAATATTTATATACATGGAAATGCCACAATGAATATAGCTGTTTTAAACAAACAAAAATGCCTTTAAAAACAGAACAAACATAGAACAGAAAGGTAAAATATGTCCTGTCTAGGAATTGGTACCAGTGGGAAGGGGGCAGATATAAGGAAAGGGTGTAGGAGGGTGAATATAGTGGAAATATTACGTATTTATGTATGAAAATGGAAAAATGAGACCTGTTGAAACTATTTCAGTAATGAAGGTAGCAGGATAAAAGAAAATGATGGAGGGCATGAATTCAACTTTGTTATATTATAGTACTTCTGTAAATGTCACAATGTACCCCCAGTACAAAAATAATATGATAATAAAAATAAAGACAATGTTGAGTATTTAAATATTAATGAAAGGTTAATATATAACACTCAAAGAAAAAGAGCAAAACCTGAATATCAGTCAGTGTATATGTGATCTAAAGATTTTAGAAAGACTAAAAACTCCCTGTGGAGCTATCTTTAACTCAAACTAGCAAAAATGTCATATTTCTCATTTATCTTTTATGTTTTTTCTTCTACAAAATCTGAGAACAGGAGGGTGGAACAGGTTCTGCCCCAAAGGCTGGGGGGTGGGAGGGCAAGGGGGAGCTTGATACTGGTGGTGGAGGATGAATGTGGTGCAAACAATCTACACACATGTATGTAAATGCAAAAATGATACCTGTTGAAACTGTTCCAGGAATCGGGGGAGAGGACGGGGGAGTTCAAGTATGATATATTTGATACATAGTAAGAACCTTTGTAATTGCTACAATGTATCCCCACCCAGCACAACAATAAAAACAGAAAAAAAGAAAAATAATAATTTCCACATCTTGAACTGACAGGAAACTAATAATCAAACTTTTACTTAAAAATGAGAAAAAAATGGGAAAACAGAGAAAAATATTGGCATTTTGCAAGAAGCAATAAGAGTATAGATGGGATTATGAAGGGATAAAAAATTGAAATATTGAAGAGAAGCACATATAGAGGAAGAAAGTTTTTATCAGCAACTTCTATGTGTTAGAGAATGAATTATTTAATCTTTCAGTAGCCTATGTATCATTTTTATTCCCTTCATTTTGAAGATCAATAAATTAAACCTCATAGATGTTATGTGAGATGACCAGGGTCATCTACAGTATGTAGAAAATCTGGGCTTTGTGTGAACTCAAAGGCCATTGCTTTTTGTCAGTATACCCAGTTGAGGAACAATATAAACTGACAGAAGCCTGGACAGTCCCGGGAGAGAGGAAGGGGGCACTAAGGAGGCAGAAGGAGCAGTGCTGGAAGGTCGCTCAGCTATTGACAAATCTCTGCTTTACCTGATACAGAATAGAATTTAAAACGTTGCTATCTATGTAGCTGCAGTTTTATGGGTGACTCAGATATAAACTTTAAAATAATGCATTTCTAATTTGCTCCAAATTTTATATCATGGTACAGTGTTTTGAAGGCAAAGATTATTCTTTTTCTGGTAATAAATCAACAGTTTTATACAAAGGTAAGTATTTCAATGATCTGAAAATGCTAAATATGTCAAAAGTGCATGTCACATATTATCCCACTGCTGAGATATAAGACTATTAATATTTGATTGTTATTCCTTACAGTTTCAAAATCCAGGTGTGTGTATGTATTCTAGAAAATTAGAATCAAGGCAGATTTTAAATCCTTCTTATGTAATTGTATTTCATATCTTTAGCTATTATTAAAATAGCATTTAAATAGGTTATGTGATACTCCATTATAAAGAATTTGAATTAACGTTTTCCTATTGTTCATTTAGTGAGCTTCCTTTTCAGTTTTTACTACTCTACTAATATATTCTGCACAAACCTTATCACACCATTGGTAATTTCTTTAAAACAGCGTGCCAGAAATTATTAACAAAGTTTTGAGTTTTATTAGTTTTAAATGGAATATGAAAATCCAAAATGTTTGATAAATATTAGATAACATAGACAGAAAAAGAACCTATAATTTTATTTTCCATATTGAAATCCTGCAATATTATTTTGATGCATACTTACAAATATTATCCATATAACTTTAATCTTTGTGAGATATGTTTTTAAAAATCAGATGCATGCTTGCTCAGGAAGCATATCCTTGTCTAAATTCTGAATGAATTTACTGTACAACAGTAAATTATATAGAATTGTATCTTCTAATGTTTGTTGTACACTTTAATCTATTTGTATCAACAAAGTATTTTATGGCTTATTTGGAGATACTGTAAATAATACTCTCTTTCTACAAAATAAACTGAAGTTGAAGCATGCAAAATTAATAGAAGATATTAACAATTGTCCTGGCATAAAAATTTAGTCAATTATCACAGTGACCATTCACTTTTCTCTTAAGGCCTTTTTGATTATTTTAAAGTTAAATTGCAAATGGTCCCAGGCTCCTCCTGGCAAAAGATTTAACATCAGCATCAACCACATAAGGAACAAATTCATATTACCTGTATATAATAAAATTATTGTGTATTTTCAGCTATCTATATAAATTAGCTCATGATCTAAATATAGCAGAATTAATATCTACTATGTGAATAATTTGGTACAATTTATTTAAGCTCTCTGAATCCCAGTTTCTTCACTTACATATTAGAAAGAATACTGACTTTGTAAGGCTCATGAAAGAAATAAAATGAAAGACATTATCTCTAATCTGCCAATTAGTATCGTCTGTTTTCAGAAAAAAAAACAAGATTTTTATCTACAAGCTTTGTTTAAGGGATAGAACCAAGTATAGACCGTCTCACCATAGACATTTGATTCACAAGTCAATACATGCATGTGATATTGAAACAAAATATGCCTTCTTTGAGATACTGTAACACAGAAACCTGACAAAAATCATTAATTAGTTAAAGTCAAGAATATAGCCAAGGTATAACAATGTCATAGCACGACAGACTATGAGAGAAAGACATGGATAGGTAAAAACTATTTTATTGTCCTCCTGGTAGAACAGAGCAGATGTACAAAGAGAAGTGAGAAGTGCAGGAAGAGAGAGAGAGAGAGAAAGAGAGAAATGGAGTAGCTGATTGTTTTCCATTTCACAAGAGGATTTGGAGATAACAAGCCTTCACTTTCAAGCAAATTCTCCTTTCCCACAAATTCTCCTATAAGACTGTGCTTATTTGAGTGGTTTTCTAATTCAAGCAATCCCTTACTTGGTTGAAAAGTGCACAGCACCATCTCTAACACACATCAGATATTCAGTGAATTCGTTTAAAGGCAGGGAAGACAATACAACTTATATTGGTTTTTATTTCAAAAATCCATGATCTCACCAGCCTGGAAGAAATATTTTCTGTTAAAATGAGTCATTTTTGCCAGAACTGTAGTGTGGTCTCATTTTGGCTTCTTTGTAAACATATTTCAAATACAAAGGTAATATAGTCCTTTCCCTACTGACTCCCCTTATACTTATTGAAAAATGCACAATGTAAATACTTACAAGATTCAGCAACATAATGATTATGAAATTGATACAGACAGCAGCAGCAGATGTTGCAAACTGCCAGTGTTGTTTGATGAAATTCCACTTGAAAGATGCAAACTGTTCCATGACAACCAGGCGATACACCACGAACTGCAAACACTGCAGTGATCACCAAGGAAATCTGCAATTTGAGAGACCGGAGGAGATAGCTACCCATGTTTTTCACCACTAACAAGTCAAAAGCAAAACTGTATACTAAATAAACTGTCTTCAGGCTAATGAAAGGATCAGAAAGGATACACAGAGTAATTTTTTTCTTTTAAGGAAGTAAATTAAATTAGAGCCAGATAAATAGTATAAATTTAAGCTTATAAATGCTGTTAGGTGACACATATTTTAATTAGCTAGATTGAAGTACTTTCACATACATGAATACTTCAAAATGTCATGTTGTATGTGATAAGCACATACAATTTAATCAGTTATTGAAAGTAAATAAATAGGGACTGGGGTAGAGCTCAATGGTAGAGTGCATGTTTAGAATTGTGCAGTGCCCTGTACCCCGAAAATATAAAAATATAGAAACAAATAAATAAATAAATCCCCAAACAAAAAAGAATCAAGAAATATCTAAGTTGTTTTAGTATGACAACAAGGTTATCACACTGACATGGAAATTCTTCCCAAATTTCCTTGTTCAATTGGAATGCTTGGTTTTAACACAGGACATCTGACTCACCAGGACAGGTCATGAGAATTTTCACTTTTTGTTTAGTTCATTTCTATTTCTCCCAACAAATGTTTTATTTATAGAGATGCATATATTCCCTGACATGCTGTGATTTCTATTTTTGTTTTATTGAATGTATTATCAAGATATTGAAAAGGGTAAGGTTTCTTTTACATTCTTAGGGCTACAAAATCAATTGAAATTATAGAATGTCCTTCTGAATCTGAAATTCTGCAACATTCTGGTATTGATGACTACTTTACCATGAAGAATATTCCTGAGACAGACACAAGAAGACGAGTGATTTTGTCTGATGAAGGTTGATGTGGCTCAGGTTTTCCTGTAATGGGATTGATTACTTCCATCTTATAATACTTTGCTTCAAACTGTGGACGAAGTGTTTCCTATGAGAGAAACTGAAGTTATCTAAATTTCAAAGCCATAGATTTAAAATAAATTCTCCCCAAACCCTCCAAAACTCCTAAATGTGTCCTACATTTAGATTGTCTTCACAAAGAAGCAACCATTAAAAAGATGTCAATTATTTTTCCAAATAAACCCTAAACTGTGTTTTAATTAGCAAAATTTTTCACTAATTTACTTTAAGAAAACATTATAGAAGTGGTTTCAAAAATTGACCTCTATTATCTTCATAAGGTAAGAAATATTGCTAATATAAACCATCGAGAAGAAATCTAATGCTGTGTGATTGCTTCTGACCTAGAAGTCAGGGTATTGAGTAGTTTGGAGCATTGTGTGATACCCTTGGTTCCTTATCACCCATTTTCCTAGCTTCTCACCTCCTCTTCTTCCCATTCAATAAGGTCCCAAGTATAGGTTAGTATACTTCTTCTCCTTTTCCAAAACTCCAGGAAGACTGTGGCTACAAAATATAATAATAATTAAAAGTAATAATAATCTTTACCAAAACCACATTGCATTGCTTTTCTTAAGATTGACTTATTTTCATTACATTATTAAGTGGTTAAAATGGATAAACTTGTTATTAAATAAATATTGAAATTTCAATCTCCTTCACCCTCTTCTTGACATCTCTGTATACCATTATCCACATGTGTTCCTAGAGGGAGGTAATTTCTTACATTGAAATTGAACATATGAATTTTGTTCAAGGAATGCATCAAAGCATTGCTAAGAGAGATGATCAGTGTTACTGAGCTAAATATTATTGTCCCTTTTGATCTGTATGTGCTTATTCAAAATTATCTAAAAGCCTCTTTCAGTAATGACAAAAAAGACCAGATGTCTCTCATCCATGATCCTGAGATGGGTGGAATGAGAGAAAGAAAGGAAAAGAACAAGGGCATTTTGGTGGAAGAAGAAGAAAAGAAAGTCCAGAGAAGACTCTTCTGGATACGTACTCTTGGTAGACTATGCATAGACTGAGAGGGACGTAATTGAAATAAACAAAGAAATTATTAGACTATACTCTGGGTTTTCTGCATGAACAGTTTAGAGAAAGGATGTTTTTCATCTAGTAACTGGGTGCCACTTTGTGTCACTGAAGACTGGACATAAAGAAGAGCTCAAATACACATTCCTTAAAATCCATGGTACTATTCATACATGCATGCATTTATTACTATTCTCTTATTTTGGTCAAAGCACTCTAAAGGATCTGCTTATGTAGTGGAGAAGGACAGTTATCTTCAAATAGTTAACTACCTCCTCTAAGAATTATAACAAAGGAAGAATTACAGTGCAAAAGAGAAATGCAATGATTTTTAGAAAAAAAAAACAAAACTCAAGTTTATAAAGCAAAGTGAAATCTTCCTTATCTGCTTTTATTCTCAACGTTGATGCAAAAGAAGGACAGGACAGAGATTTTTTTTTTCTTTATAATTAAAAAACAATACCCATATTAGAAAAATACAATGTTCATAGTTATCTTACATTTCATCTCATATTAAAACTCGCAAAATCCTTTCTCACATATGGTTTAATTTTCATTCTCACACTTGTAAAATTTCCAAGGAGATTTGTCAGGTGTTATGGTTACATGGATTTTGGAAACAAAGGTATTAAATGTCATTAAGTCAATAAATGGAAGAGTCAGATCGAAACTCCCACTTAGTATTCTGAATCCACAAAGATTGGATGACACAGGCTATAGGTTCTCCACCCCTGATGCAGTCCACCATAAATATTACTACAGACTTTTTTTCTGTAAAGTTCTGAAAGAGTAGAGATGCTAAAATAAGCAAGACAGCCAGACTCCAGTCACAAACAAACAAGGTTCTCCAAACACTGGATCTGCTTTTCAAGTAGGAACGGCAATCACTGATACAACAGGGGAAATCTAGAACCTAAGAGAAAAATGGAACACAGAGGAGAAGACACAGAGAAAGGATTTATTATCAAAAGAGTGAAATAAAATGAAGGTTTTCTCTGATTGAGCATGATTGTAACTTGAAAGTAATATCCTGATAGAAGATATATTGAATCATTCTTAGGAAACAGGATTTTTAAAAAAAATTACAATATGAAAGAACCAGACTTTGTGTTTAAAGTCCATTCTCAGCTTGAAATATATTAATTTTGGTCATGGCTTTCTTATTTAAACTCTCAAGTGAACCCATATTCTTACTTTCTGAAATTAATTAGAAAGAGAGCATAGAAAGTAATTTTTATCAGTGTGCCAAACCTGGAGGAAGAAAATGATACTTTACTAATTCCCACTAACCTTATTTAGAATATGATTAATAATAAAATAGCTAACTTTAAAATTAAAACAACGGTTGCTTCTGGGGTGGGTTAGCAGGCAAGTGTCACAGGGATCACATGAAGTGATAAAATATTCTATATTTTAATAAAAGTGGTGGTTATGTATGTTCATGAGTTTTCCAAAAGTGATTGAACTATACTTAGGATCTGTGGATTTGATTGAATGTAAATTGAGGAAAAACAACGAAAAACAGTTCTAGAAAGTAAGTGGGTTTTTTTGTTTGCTTGCTTTGCAGTGCTGGAGATTGAACACAGGGTTCGTGCGGCTAGACATCTCTGCTTCTGAGCTATACCTCCAGCTCAAAAGTAAATAATTTTTTAAATGCCAAGAGGCTAAACACACTATTTGACTTGTTTCTTATGGCAAAACAGTGGTCTTCTCCAAGCTTGTATTTTTTGCTTTCCTAGTAATTTTAACTTTGTGTGCTTAGCAGTAGGAGCTCTGACCTTACAGTGAGCAGCTGAAAAGGAAGTAGCTAGCTTGTATGACCAAATCACATCACACAGCCAATCTGGGGGAAATTACAAGCCCAATTATTCACAGAAGCAACTGAATTGAGTTGATGGGTAGGCTGAGCAAGAAAAGGCTTGCACTGTTCCCTGGCACAGCTATCTTAAAGATCCTGGCACGGAGAAAGGACATTTACTTATGGCATGGCCCAAGCGAACACACAACAGAGCACCCAACTTCAGTGACTCCAAGGTTCTCTCGTATGGATAAATGCGGTGGCTGAGTATAAATGCAAGTAAAAAGACTGGGGCCCAGCCTCAACTAGAGAGCAATCAAGTCTGCCTGAACACGTTCAAATTCCAACAGTGCCTAATGAAATGCAATGAAATAAACTTCTACCCTGACTGAAGTCCTCACCAAGATTTGACCCATCAGCTCACATATTGTCCACCCCTCCCACATAGGAAAAAGTCATTTCTAATTGACAGAAATGGGAGATGGAGGGCTAAAGAGTGTTAAGGTCTTAATATAGAGACTTTGTTCTTTAAAAAGTTATATGATTTTAATCTCTTTCTGCCTTTCTCTCTGTAGTGCTTTCTCTTCTCTCTCACTCTTTCTCTCTTTATTGGGTCTCACTGCTAAATCATAAAAATGGTAAGAAAACATTGGTCATCTTATTGTAACGAGCAGTGAAGTTTGTCATGAACAGAAAACTCTGGGAACCTGACTGGATCAGTAGGTCTCTGAAGCAAGCAGCAGATTGAAGGGAATATAGGAGCTTAATGATGGAGGCCTATACAGGTTTGAGAAGGAGTGAGAGTGGGGAGGGTACAAGATCTGAAGACTTTAATTGGGGAGACTTATGGAGTTTAATATCTTAGAACTTTGAAAAGATTCCAATGTCCAGGCTCTACCTCGGAATAACTAAATCATTATCACTGGGGAGGATCCCCAGTATTAGTATTATTTTTAGTGTTTTGGAAAAGCTTCCTAAGACTTCCAGTGTGACGCTAGGGTTGAACACTATCTTGTAGAAGAAAAGCCATTGTGCTGATAAAAGAGGTGGAATGGTGGCATGGTAGAGCCTCAGTGCTAGAACTATAGCCAATTTGTCAGAAATAATGACTCACTTTGTTTCGATTTCTAACTATACATAAAGCAATGAACAATCACTTTAGAATCATTACTTCTAATATGCATGTCCATAACACTAATTTTCACAAACATTAACAAAAAATCTGAATATTCCCTATAATAGCAGGTATAAATGAATGACAAAATGGTTATAATTTTTATTACTTGCCAGATTAGAAATTTGTAATTTTGAAAGGAGAACTAACTTGCTGAAGTCAAACAGATGGTTAGGACCTAATTCATCCCAATTCCAAAATTGCTACTCTGTCTCTCACACAATGCTCCCTTCAATATGAATGTGTAGACTTGAGAATAAAGATGCCTATAGGTGAGAAGGGAAATCTGCAAGTTCATAAGAAATAAGTATTCTGCAGAGAAGCAGATCTGGGGGACAGAAAGAATAGAAGAAATCAAACTACATGGTGTTTAAAGGAGGGAACCCTGATTTATAAGGCAAAGGAACAATGGTCCAGAATGAACAAAGTAACAGAGGAGGTAGGGGTGGGGGTGGAGAGGATAAGGGGTGTGTTAAACTTATTTAGTGCCTTAAAAGTGAAAGTGTATAAAGTGAAAATCATTGTTTTTTGTTTGTTTTTAAAGAATGATGTGTCAATACAGATACAGTACATGTAGGAGAGTTCAGAAATGGAGATGTGCAGGTATGTAGACAGACAACTTAGATATAGCTATAGATATGTAATATCCAAAAGTATATATACCCCATGTTATGTCTATGGGATGTGTGTGTGGAGCACTTTCACTTTCAATATAGTACAAGAAAGTTGCTTATGTTCTCTTTACAACTCCATGTGGAAAATTTATCAACTCTTCTCCTTGGTCCTGTGAAACTAGGCTGGTCATGGAGACTAGCATAAGAAGCCTGCAGTGGAGAAGGTTTCACATGATATACGGAGGTATTCCAGAAAAGCTGCATCACTTTGTTCCTTAGCAACTATACATTGTATTTATTTTACACCTGCCTTTCTTAAAATGACACTCTTTAACCCATGAAATTTCAAAGATACATATCTATGAAGTCCTTGAACTTCCATTTCCTTGTGTTAACTAGAGTAACAGAATCATAATGTCATATAGATAATGGAGGATAGATGCTGCATATGGCTTATTTCAAGCTATTTATTATAAAAATCACAGAAAACAAGACCCAGAGCAGTTGAAAATGATCATTGTCCTTATATAAGAACCTGCAATGCATCCACAATACGTGGTCACAGTTTGTTACTCTTGTTCTTAGACCTGATTTTTCCTATATTTGAATGCAGTAAGTGTCTTTTCTGCCTTAGGATTTTTATCATTGGCACACTGAAATATTCAATCAATGTTTATTAAGCTGAACCCAATTATTGACTGAATCCAGTGATTGTGATTACAATTCCTTATCTTGGCTCTTTACATTGCTCCAGGTTTTCAAACTATGCTAAGTTCAATGGATACATGGGGAGAAATGGGAATGGAGTCTCTCACCAGAGAAGTGCTTTCCTTATTGAGTAATCAAGTTCTATTTCATTTGAAAAGCAGTTATTACTTAAAGA